TATGTGAGCATTTACAGTAGCACTCCCCTCTACAGTTATTCTTACCAATAATTACTTTAAATATAAATAAATTTTTCTAATCAGAAGACATATAATTGCTGCATCATCCTAAGTGAAATAAGCCAGTCAGAGAAAGACAAATACCATATGATTTCACTCACATGTGGAGTCTAAGGAAGAAACTGAACTAACAAGGAAAATAAGGACAGATTCATAGATGGCTGACAGCTAGGTGTGTGGGGGGAGGTGAGGGTGTGGACAGATTGAGCAAAAAGGAAAAAGAACTTATGGACATGGACAACAGTGCGGTGATTGCTGGGGGAGGGGGGCATAAGAGGACTAAATGGTAATGGAAAAAATAAAATAAAGATTAAACTTAAAAGACATGTAATTGTTGCATGGATTTACAAAGAAGCAAGACCCAACTCTATGTTGCCTACAAGAGACTCACATCAGTGTGAGGTACACACATAGTCTGAAAGTGAAGCAATGAAAAATATTCTATGCAAATAAAGCATTAACTATATACAGTAAATATTAACAGGTATAAAAGGGAGAAATAGACACCAGTACGAATAATAGTGGCGATTTCATTACCCCATGTTCAAAGATCAAGAGAGAAAGTCAGTATGAAAATATTTGATTTAAACTACAAGGAACATATAGCAAGGACTCATGGACAAAACCAAAGGGGAAGAGCTGAGGGAGGGAAGGTGGGAGGGGGCAAGGGAAAGAGGTGGGGGGAAGGCAGAGACAAATGTATTTAAAAAGTAAATAAATTAATTAAAAAATAAATAAATAAAAAATAAATATAGAAAAAAAAAATAAACTACACCTTGGACAAGACAGACCTAAGAAACAGGTACAGAAGATTTCATCCAAGAGTAGCAGGACAAACATTTTTCTCAAATACACATGGTACATTCTCTTAGTGAGAGCAAATATGAGGCCACAAAACAAGCATTACCAAAATTAAGAAGATTGGGATCAAAACAACCATCTTTCTGACCATAATAATATGAAATTAGAAATCAATTACAAAAGGAAAACTGGAAAATCTGTAAGAATGTGTAGATTAAACAACATTGTCCTAAACAACCAAATTCAGAGAAGAAACCAAAAGGAAAATAAAAATATTTTGAGGCAAAAGGAAACACAACAAAAACTTACGCAGCAAAAGCACTTTTGCCAAAAAGGACATATAAATACTGCCTGCATTAAGAAAAAAGATCTTAAATAAACAACCTAACTTTATACCCCAAGAACTAGAAAATTAAGAATTAACTTAGCTGAAAGTCAGTAGAAGTAAATAAAGTCAAAATAAATAAAGACAGTAGAAAAGGTCAATGAAACTAAGAGCTTTTTTTAAAATTAGATAAACAAAATTGACAAACCTTTAGCCAAAGAACAAAAAAGAGATGACTCAAATAAATAAAATCAGAAATGAAAGAGGAGGCTACAAATGATATAACTGAATACAAAAGAAATTACTATGAAAAATTATGTGTCAGCAACTTTGATAACCAAAAAGAAACTTATAAATTTCAATAAATATAAAAGCTAAAAAGTCTGAGCTATGAAAAGTACAAAATTTAAACAGAATATTAATGAGTAAGGAAATTGAAGCAGTAATCAAAAACCTCCCAACCATAAAAAGCCCAGGATTGAACTACTGAGCTGGTGATTTCTACCAATCTTTTAAAAATAATTAATATCAATCCTTCTCAAATTCTTCTAAAAAATTGAGGAGTGAAGAACACTTTTGAACTTATTTTATGATGCCATCATATCCTGAAAGCAAAACCAGGTAAGGACCTGAAAAAAATTATAGGCCAATATCCTTAACAAATACATACAAAAATACTGAGAAAATATTAACCAAAAATTATTAGCATATAAAAAAGGATCATACATCATGATTAAGTGGGCTGTAATTTGGGGGATGCAAGGACAGTTAAACATACATAAGTCAATCAATGGGACACATCACATTAGCAGAACAAAGAATATTATATGATCATCTCAATAGCTACAGAAAAAGCATTTGAAAATTCAATATCTTTTCATGATAAAGACTCTTAACAAACTTGATATGGGTGGAATATAATTCAGTCATAATAAAGACTACATATGACGTGCCACAGCTAACCTCATACTCGAGGAATATCAGAGACAAGATAAGGGTGCCTACTCTTGTCACTTTAATAGCACTGGAAGGCCTAGCCAGACCATTTGGGCAAGAATAAAAAAGCAACCAAATCAGACAGGAAGAACTAAGTAAAACTGTATTTGTTAACAGGTGGCATGATCTTATGTATAACAAATCCTGAAGACCAAAAAACTGTTAGACCTAATAAATAAATTTAGGAAAGTTGCAGGATACAAAAATTGACCCACAAAAATCAGTTTTGCTTTTACATAGTAACAATGACCCATGGAAAGGGAAGTTAAAATAATTCCACTTAGAATAACATCAAAATAATAAAGTACTTAGGTATAGATTTAACTAAGGAAATGAAAGATCTATACACTGAAAGCTATAAATCATTGATGAAATTGATTGGAGAGGACAATAAATACAGAGTATATACCATGTTCATGGAATGGAAGAATTAATATTGTTAAAAATGTTCATACTACTCAAAGCAATCTATATTCAGTGAAATCCCTATCAAAATTCACAATGAGATATCATCTACACATGTTAGGATGTCTGTTATCAAAAAGAAAAAAAATAAATGTTAGTAAGAACCTGGAGAAAAGAAACCATCTTGGACTGTCATTTTGAATGTAAGTGGATACAGCCAGTATGGAAAAGAGTTTGTAAGGTCCTTACCAGATTAAAAGTAAAAGTATCATTCAGAAATCCCACTTCTCGATATACACCCAAAAGAAACAAATCACCATGTCAAAGAGGTATATGAATATGTACTCCCATGTTTCTTGCATCACTATTTGCAGTAGCAGCATATGGAAACAACCTGTCTGTCAACAGTTAACAAAGAAAGGGGTGGTTCAAATGTTGGAATAGTATTCAGCATTAAAAAAAAAAGAAAGAAAGAAAGAAAATGCTGCTAATGTATGAGTGTGGAGGGCCAAACAGAAAAAGACAAATTTTGCATGATAACGAATGTATGTAGAATAAAAATAAAAGTCAAAATAATAAAAACAGAGTATAGACAGGTAGCCAGGAACATGGTGAATGAGGAAAATGAGGATAGGCTAAAAGGGTACAAACTTTCAGTGACAAGATGAATAAATTCTAAAAAGCTAATGTATAGCATGGTGACTACAATTGATAGTACTATATTGTATATTTGAAATTGCTAAGAAAGTAGAGATTAAGCATTCTCACCACAAAACAAAAAACTTAACTATGTGAGGTGATAGATATGTTAACTGATGGTGAAAATCCTTTCATGATCTATATGTGTATCAAAGCATCACATTGTATACTTTAAATATGCTACAAATTTATTTACAATTTTACCTCAATCAAGCAGAAAAAACAGATAAAAATATTGTCACTTGGATTATATATTTAGATTTATTTATTACTCCTTTATTGTTTTCTATTTCACTGACTCATGGGTAAATCACCGCCAAATTAGGCTACACTGAAATGTTATTTCTTAAAGTGAGTAATACATTCTATTGCTCTAAAAAAATAAAATGTAGTATTCAATACCTCTGTTAGCATGTTAACTTATTTTTTAGCCATATTTGGTTACTAGTCAGAGTTAACATTTAATTACTCCAGAATTATAAGAAAGTATGAAAATAAGCTTATATTATTACTCTATGCTTATGATGTCATAACTATTATTGATTAGTATTTAGTTTTATTTACAAAGATTCAGTTAAGTAAAGGTCTAAGGAATGTGGCTAATTTTAGAAGGTTATAGAGTCAGTGTTGCTATAATTCAAATAGTGGGAAAACTTTAACAGCTGTAAATTATTTTTCTTCTGGTTTAGTATAGTCAGTATTAATTAAATATGCTAATATGTTTTTTCCTAAGTAATCATTTGAAATATATAATTGACTAATTGTATTTATTAAAGAATATAATCATTGCTATAGTAGACTTATACCACCAGCTTTTCTTTGCAGATGGCCTTATTTCAAGGCTTTCCTCAAATAATTCACTTCATAAATTGAATTTCAATGTCAGCTTGACCAGTATGAAGCCATTTTGCAATATTTGTATAACCTGTGTGAAGTCCTTAGAATATGCATGTGAAAGGAAGAAATTACACCAGAAAACTAACTACATTCATATCTGTCCAAGTGCTGCAGAAACTATTAAGAATGGCCACAGGTTTCTGGAATGTATTATTTTAAACTTAATAAATGAAAGTGTGTATATACATATGTATATATATAAACTTTTATATATTTATATAGAAACTTTTTAATATATAAATATATTTATATAGAAACTTTTAATATATAAAAATTTAAAAAATAAATAAAAACACATATGCAAAAAATTTATGTATAAACTTTTATATATTTTATATGTAAACTATTTATATATCAGTATGTAAACTATTTATATATAGTTTATATATAAACTATATATATGTAAACTATGTACATTTATACACACACACTATTTTCTCAGTGTTTTTATAAACCTAAGTTAACTTCAACTGTGGGAGTATTGACAAAATCATAATCATCTATAAAACTTTTGGTACTCTATGCCAGTCCTTCAAAAATTGTCATTTTTCAGACAAGTAACCACAACATCATTTGAGAACAGGCTGGCAATGTAAAATTTTGGTCCCTCATTACAGTCCTGCTGAATCAGTGTCTGGGAATGGATTCAACAATCTATATTTTAATAAGCACTATGTATGTTTCCTATGCACATTTAAGTTTGAGAATCACTGCCCTATGCTATTTCCAAACCCCAGAGGTAACAACTTTTCAAAACGGGGCGTCCCTAGTAATTTAAAAAAATATTTTATTTATCTATTTTTGTAACCGTGAAAACCAGGGGAGAGTGCAAACGCAGTCCCCCCCACACCACTAATTACGCAGTTGTTTCCCACATTTGAGGAAATTGCAGTGGTCAGAACATCCGGAATGCAATGGATAAGCCCCGTCCTGGGAAAACCACCTTCGTGATTATGGTATCTCCCCTGCCAGGTAAGTGTAAAAAATATTTTATTTATTTATTTTTAGAGAGAGGGGAGGGAGGGAAACAGAGAAGGAGAGAAAACGTCGATGTGTGAGAGAAACGTGGTTTGGTTGCGGCTCACACACACCTCAAGCAGGGACCAAGCCTATAACCCAGGCCTGAGCCCTGACTGGTAATCCAATCAGTGACCTTTTGTTTCGCCTTGCAGTAGGAGTCCCACCCGACTGAGCCCTACAGGGCAGGGCCCAAGTAATTTCGATATGCTAATCTACGAAATGGCAACGTTTTTTAAATATCTCAAGTGTTCTACTTATTTTCATGGAGAATAATTTTTCTTTTCTTTTTACCACATTTAAGAATATATGCATGAAAATTTGAACTTTGTGTCCATTTACTTTCAAATCAGACTTCTTTCTAAATACAAACCCTGTTAGGTATTACTATAAATATTATTACTAGCAGTTATAGAAGTGAAATATGGCAATTTACTGTCATTTTGGTGATTCAAAAACTATCAGCATAAGACAATTTAATTAGGGGTTTGATCAGATTTCTCTATGAAAATTTTTTGTTGACACATGCTGCCAATGAAACATTCAAGATCATTGACCGTCCTTTCTTCCCTGCGCTCAAATACAGTGAATTAAAAAAAAAAAAAATTCCTACAATGTTACCTGACCAATGCAAAAGTAATAGAGAGTATCACTTTAAGCAATAAATACCAGTACTAGACTATACTGGCAAATGGTGGCATTTTTCTTCAGAAACAATGGAGCATGTATTTGCACAGGGAATTTAGTTACTTGTCATTTATATAATTGGCTACTATATCCTGCGTTGTAACACCAATGATGTGGTAAAAAATTTGGCAGTAAATCTGAAGGACTGGTTAAGTCAAATGTGAAGGTCTATTTTTTATGCTACTTGTATTAATGCTTAAGAATATTAATAGAGGATACAAGCATATTATTAACATTATGGGGGAAAATACTTTAAATATTGTGTCTATTCAGGAATATCTAACAATGTTTTAGAAATCATTTGCTTCAGCTCTGGTCCCAATAGTGAACATGTCACCCTGTGTGTATATACACAAAATACAAATACAAATTCAAGTAGCCATAAAATACTTGCAAGTGCCCCAGACAAGAACACACGTGAATTTAATAGCCTTGGCCTTCCACTCTCATAATCATCCACTGAATGTGGCCGCTGCAGTAACCCATGGACACGCACTCCTACTAAGGCCTTCATTTCATTGCAGGTGTTGTGAATGAAAAGCAAACTTTTAGCAGATGTCACAAACTACTTAAATTCACAATTTAGAATTCTTGATATTGTTTCTATAACAGATTTTTGGATGATGAGGAAGAAAGCAAAGTATTAAGATAGAAAAAAAATTAACACTCAGTCTTTAAGCATATTAAATTGGGAAATGACCATAAAGTGAGAGAAATATAAAGAAACAGAAGCCAGAGCTTTACATAGGATTAATAGTGATTGGGGCCCATAGGTTAAACTGGAAAAAAAAAAAAAGACATTAAAAGGAGAAAGGACAAAGTTTATTCTCAGAGGTTCATGGAAGCCCACAAAATGGCTCATAAAAGTGACTAGAATCTAGAGTTTATAAACCATCTTAACAGGGGAAGGACAAGGAAGAAAGGTCATTGAGAGAACAACAAATGACTTTTAGGAAAGGCAAATTGAAGTTTAGGAGCTTCTGTGGGAGGTAAGACAATGTTGTGACCAGTTTGTTTATGAGATTTCTCATCCAGGTGCTGACTTCCCTGTCTTAGTGAGAGGAGTCAATAGCCTTGAAGGGGGATTTATGGCTCTGATTTCAGACAGATAGTGGTCAAAGACTTTTTCTGCCTCTGTTGATTTTCAAATGTCTTCAGCTCAAACTATTTTTTATGCCACAGTAGTATAATCTAGATACCGTCATCATCTTATCTTCTCATTAATGGTTCTAACTAGCACGGGGTGAAGAAAGAATAGAAAAGAAAAAGTGCTAATTATATTTGCTGACATCAATCTGGGATACTTAGCATGCACATTTATTGTATTCCTGAGGGGGTTTCTAATCATATCTGTTAATTAATCATCTTTAATTTATTACAGTCCTTTTACATTGACTTATTTTTCTTTCTAGGCATTTAATCAGCACCAAATGTAATAATGACAAAAACAAGAATCTTACAATTTAGCACTCTTTAGGTTTCTTCTAATAGTCTATGAATCTCTATTTTCAAACAGTAATATGAAGGAGTTCTAATCAATTGCAGGAGGAAATGACATTGGTATAAGCAGACAAATATACATATACTTGAAAACATGGAGCATGCTTGAATTTATCAAGAATTTTATAATGCCTAAATCAGGTACCCTATAAGGTCCATGATTTTTAGTCTGAAAAATAGTGTAATCATACAGACAAAATCATGTACTTTTAAAAGGAGAATGTAAAATAGTGGAATGCTTTTTATTTTCCTGTTCTTGGTATGGTATTCAGTTTATGAAATCAGAGTTAATATATTAATGCATTAGTTATTGTATTTATTCAAAAATTTCTTGAGATATGGGAACAAAGCCCAGGTGGAAATTCATTTCAGTCACTTAGAGAAAATATATAAGCTAATAGAATAATCTGTTAATTAAAATTCAGGACTGTCCAGCAAAATTACTTAGCTCTAAATTACATAGTTTCTAGTTTTGAATTCTAAATGCAATGTGATTAGAAGCTGTCTTTCTTTCATGTCTCAGTTGTTTCTGAACACAGTTAATTTGATCACTGTCCTAGGAATTACATGTACAGAAGATGCTCTTTATACTGCCTCTGTAAACTGCCCAGAGCTCCAGAAAATGAAGATAAAATCATTTCACACTTAAAAGTTTCAGAGTATTTTATTGGATTATTTTCAAATATAGGTTATTACTTTCATGAAGCAGATGTTATTCTAATAAAAATATAGACATATTAATAGTTGCAAAGTGTCCCAAAGGCTGTATAATTAATTGTTTTTCAAAAAGTCTTTAAAAAAATCTATACTGTGGGCTTTTGGTATCTTGCCTCTATTTTAATATATACTTTTTTCTAAATATCACATCGAGAAGAGTACTGATTTAATGAATAAATTAAATTGCTCCAAGAAATAAGGTTCATTTCCTACTCTGAAACAATCCATTAAATAACCCATAATTTACTAAGGTAAATGCAGAGAAATTGATAGATTTTTCTGGAAATACTTTAATAATTTTGAACATTCACCATTTTAATATCCTAACTTGTAGTCATACTGGTTGGTTTAGTTTTACTTTAGCAGACACAATCATGAGAGTGGAATTAAAAAGGTACCTTGGATTTTTCTATAGTCCTAAATTAAAAATAGCAGTACCTTACATTTAACCCAAGGCAGTAGAATGGAGGTGAAGGTAATTTTCAGAGAAGGTAGACTGGATTTCAAGTACAAGGAAACAAAAATGTCTTTATAATGCAGTGAAATATTTAGAAATTTAAAAATGCTTTTAGTAAAGGTGCACTAGATATTAAATCTACATTACAGATTAAAATTACATATTGAAATATCAAAAGTAATATCAGTTATTTGCAGGTATCTAGAGAAATATCTTAATTATTAGTAGAAAATTAATCAATTTCTTCTCTCTAGCTAAATCAAATTACCCTTTCCTTTGTGCTTCTTCTCACTCTAACTTCATTCCTAATTCAATATTTCAGATAGCAAAAATATATAAATAGCTATGACAGAAATGTATAAATTGAATTGGCCATGCAAATATGTAAATATGGCATTTACAATAAAAAGTTCTGCTTAGCTTTCAAGACTCTTTTTCATAAATATACTCTTCTCAAATTCAGAATAAATTCAGAGTATAGCAACTGAAAAATCAAGGGTGATCAGTAAAAGTACAAGCACATTAATGTTATCATGGAAGGAGAAAGAATAAAGCATGTTTATGTTTGCATTAGAAATTTATATTATTCCATACTTTGAGTACACTGGTTTCTGCATTTAATGGACTTCTGATTGTATCAGATTTGCAGAACTGGAAAAATTTATTGGTGTGACTATTGTTCTCTTCAGCAAGAGGGAACTTTGGTTTGGTTCCCTGCATGTGAATAGTCCTTTCTTGCAAAGAAAACCTCTCCACTTGTGGCTGTGGGCAGAAGGCTGCCAGTCCTGCTTCGCAGACACAGTTTCACGCCCGCACTAAATTATTTTCTGGTCTTTTTGTGCAATGTATCATTGTAATCTGTCCTCAGCTATTTTATCCAAAATAAACTCTGAAGGAAAGTTAAAAAAAAAATTTATATTATTCTAATTTAAAATAGTTTAAAAAATTGTATGTAAAATTTCTAAGTTACTAAACTGTTTTTTTCATGTAGTAAAAGTAACAATAAGTAAATATAATATGTAAGAAAACTTAAAATGAATATATTTTTGAACATGCTTAAACAGTAATGTAATATATTTCTTCATGTCTTCATTTGCCATCCCTCAGAGTAAACCCAAAGGTAAGGTTTCCAGTGAAAGTATTTTATTTGGAAGATGATGATAAGAGAAACAAGTAGAAGAAGAGGAAGCATGAGGAAACAAAAATAAATTGTCAAATTGGTATACATGTAGGCGACTGGAACTTAACCCCACTAAGGAGCTTTGAGAGCCAGTGTAGGATAGGATATGGACTTGCTAGTCTTCCTGTGGGGCTACAGAGCTGTGGTACTGCCACTAACAATCATCTTTGGTTGAGGGCTGATCAGAAGGAGTCAGTTAATTCCCTGGCTCTTCCCTGGCTCTGCCAGTTCAGCCCACAAGTGGGCAGAGTGTCCTCTTTCCACTGTAGAAAGTCCTCTGTTAGGGATTTTTTTTTTTTTTTATGTCAGCTTGACTAGATTAACCATCCCCATTATTCATACAAACATTAATCCAGTACTGCTGTTAAGGAATATTGCACATGTAATTAAAATGGCTCTCAGTTGACTTTAAATAAAGATTA